AGCAAGTAGCAGCAGAGTAGGGTGCAATTAAAAACAAGAACACAACTAAAAGATGGAACGGACATCATCCAGAACCACAGGAAGGCTGGCTGAGTGGAAATTCTACAACTAGAAGGAAAGAGAAAAGCATACCGAGACTCAGAGGAGGTGCGGTGCAGAAGTACAGTACAGAGGTTGGAGGTGCACATGGAGAGGGCTGGCGGCTGAGGACACGGTTGTCTTTTTCAATCGGTAGGGAGTATGAAGCTCTGAGCTCCAGTTCTGGGTGAGTCTCTGGGGACCCAGACTCATACGGGAGAAACTGGACTGTCTGGCATAGGTCAGAACTCGAGGGCAGCTTTCTCTCAGAGGTGCTTGCAGCGATTGCCGGGACACTGAGAAGCGGGGCCTCTGAGGGCAGGACTGAGAGCAGCCATAACTGCTTGCTCCGCCCGCCCTGTTGATCCCCTGTTGATCCCCTGGGACCTCCGCCCCGCCCCACCCAAGCTGTGGGCCTGGCAAAAGGCTTTTGCATATGAAAGGCCTGGCCCTTTGCACTGCTGGTGGGAATGCAGACTGGTGCAGCCACTATGGAAGACAGTATGGAGTTTCCTCAAAAAACTAAAAATGGAACTCCCATTTGACCCAGTGATCCCACTTCTAGGGATATATCCCAAGAAACCAGAAACACCAATCAGAAAGGATATATGCACCCATATGTTCATAGCAGCACAATTCACCATAGCTAAGATCTGGAAACAGCCTAAGTGCCCATCAGTAGATGAATGGATTAGAAAACTGTGGTACATCTACACGATGGAATACTATGCTGCCGTAAAAAAGAAGGAACTCTTACCATTTGCAACGGCATGGATGGAACTGGAGAGCATTATGCTAAGTGAAATAATCCAGTCAATAAAGGAAAAATACCACATGATCTCACTCATTTATGGATAATAAAGACCATTATAAACTTATGAACAAAAATAGATACAGAGGCAGAGCTGCCTCGAACAGACTGTCAAACTACAGTGGGAAGGCCGGGGAGGGTTGGGGGGCAGGAAGGGGGGGGGGGCGGGTAAGAGATCAACCGAAGGACTTGTATGCATGTATATAAGCATAACCAATGGACATAAGACACTGGGGGGTAGGGGAGGCCAGGGGATTGTCAAGAGCGGGGGAAAAAAAGGAGACATATGTAATACTCTTTGTAATACTTTAAGCAATAAAAAAAAAGAAAAAAAAAGAAATTTTAAAAAAAAAGAAACTGCAGTCTCAGATCTATAAGGGCTCTCTAGCCAGATGCAATCTATTAATCAATATTGTGTTCTCTTCATGTTACGTTCAATTTTAATGTTTTACTATTTAAAGTTGGTTCTATGAAAAAATGTGACTCAGCAATTAATTGATCTCACACTACTATTTCACACAAAACTCTCATATCCAGGGTATTTTATTTTATTTTGTTTTAAAATATATTTTTATTGATTTCAGAGAGGAAGGGAGAGGGGAGAGAGAGATAGAAACATCAACGATGAGAGAGAATCATGGATCGGCCATCTTCTGCACATCCCCTCCTGGGGATGGGGTCCACAACCCAGGCATGTGACCTTGACTGGAATTGGACCTGGGACCCTTCAGTCTGCAGGCCGATGCTCTAGCCACTGAGCCAAAACAGCTAGGGCTGGGTGGCCCGTTTTTATCTTGGCTTTTCAACTGGAATTGCTCTCTGAGAGTCTGGATCCCTGGCTCTTCAGAAGTCCCTGGGAGCCAGGACCCCTATGGGCATGACCAGGAGGCTTATTTTGTGCCTAGTTCTCCACAACGCAAAGGAACACAATGATCAGCTTTGCCCCTTCTGGATCCAGTTCCTGCTGTTTTTCTGTGGATCAGGAGGTAGGAACTTTGGGGAGGGAATTGCTGACCTGTGTCCTTGTCTCCATGGAATTTCTCAGTCTGGACACTAAAGTGTCAGAAGAGGGGACTCTTACTGCTTGTTTCCTGGGAAGAAGTGATTTTGAATGTTGCCTGATGTTCCAAGCCTATTGCTTCATTATGAAGGAAAAACTTTATTTGCCAAATTTGAATCAAAAGAAGACCAAAAGTTGTTCCTCAAAAGAACAATAGTTATTTGTTGATGATGCAAAGACCTTGGTTGGAATTTTATTTTTTATTTTTTTAGGGCTATAGCTATACTTTATTTTTTTAAATTTTAAGGTTCTGTTTAATAATAAACAACATGAAATGACAAGACAGATCACAGACGGAAAAATATTTTCAAACATACAAATTATCATGGATTAGTATACATGATATATATGCATATGTATGTATGATATACATGTATATCTATCATATATGTTATATATATGCATATCTCCTATGGATCCAGGGATTATTAAAAAAAGTGTCTTTGGTGGTCACTTGTATTAGTTTTTATTGCTGCTTAACCCTTATAATAGACCCATCAAGTTAATCCCTACACATTGAGATCCTTAATATAGTCATATCTGCAAAGTCACTTTTGCTATATAAAATAACATATTCAGAAGTTTTGGGGACTAGGATATGGACATCATTGGGGCTATTATTCTACCTACTGCAGTCTACTTTTTGTCTCCCAAAGATCTACTTCTCTCCCACATGTAAAATACATTCTCCCCCATCCCAACATTTCCAAAGATGTCAGTCCATTACAGCATCAACTCAGTCTAAAAGCTCATCGGCTCAAAAGCCCTAAATCTCATCAGGTATTGGTCAGTCTCTGGCTAATCCTTAGGCACAATTAGTCTTTATCTGTGAACCTGTGAAACTCAAGAAATGATTTACCTGCTCCCCAAATGGAAGGATAGACATAGGCTAACCGATGTAAGTATGCCAATTTAAAAGGGGAGAAAATGGAAATAACAAAGAAGTCACCAGTCCCAAGCAACCTCAAAATCCAACGGGCAAATGTTGGGTTCCCAAGCCTGGGAACAATCCTTCTTCCGGCAAACGGCATACTGTTCTTAATATATTTGCTCCCCTTCCTAAAGCTATGTGTTTTAACAGAGGTCACCTCTCTGAGAAAGGTTTCCCCAGGTGGGGATTTTTTCCCTGGAGTTAGGGATTAACAGGACTAAGGAAGGGAATAAATCCGTAAAACCCCTTAACTAAGTGCCAGGTGGGTAATCACGTTGGGCGCCAAATCACAATTTTATAGCATTACAAGACATTGACCAGTTCTGTTGCCAGGTTAGCAATCTTTACTAACATGCTTTTCTCCAGCCATCTTTTAAGTTCCATTTCTTGTGTTCTTTTTGAACCAGTTTTGTCATTCTGCTGGTTTACTCCTCAATAATAAGGTAAAGAAAACTTGAACATATACTCACTATCTTTTTGTATGAGAATTATGCCAATAAATTGGAAATGACTAGGTAAGAATTACACACATACACACACCCCACACCAAGTACTTCTACAGCCAGCACTGCTGTAATGGCTTGTTTGCCTCCCTTCTCTGCTAGACTTCTCCGGAGTCGGTGAATAGTTCTATCGTATGCCCCACTGCTGTCTTCCGAACACAGCAAAATAGTGTCCCAGAGTATGAGATCAACAAAAATTTCTGAATGAGTTTCTTACCCAGATGCCTAAGCGCCCTTTCTCCCACTCTTCTCCTTTGTAGATCATGATCTCAAACTCCTGCATCCCTTTAAACATTGATAATGGCTCTCTTCACTACCTGCAGCCTCTGAGAACTATCAGCTTGTTATCTAATTAAATGATAGGTTTTTCTCTCAATGGCAGACATACAACAGGGTTAGGCTTGACAACAAGATGGAATTCACATCGTTTGCCTGGGCACCAGTAACATTCAAAAATAAATTTTAATAAAAATCAGCACTTCCACTTGGGGGGGGGAAAGTTTTTTAAAGATAGAAATTGGTTACACAGCTAGCATATTATAAGAAGAGTGCTGAAATGGACAGCCATATGTAAAAACACCTGAGATATATCATCTTCTCAAGCATAAGATGCCGTACCAGTTCCTTTAAGTCCAATGAGTATTTAATTTATATCAGATCATGGAATGAGATTCACTATTCTGATCCAGTTCTTTGTTAAAAGACTACTCTGTTGGTATTCAATATCTGGTAATCATGAAAGCCTTGTAGGTATCAAATATAACTCTGCCAGTTATTAATTTATTGAGTCAGCTTTAAATTCATCTTATGTGCATACCCTATAAAAATAGATCTGGTCCCTTGATTTTTCTTTTGTATCTGACAGGATGTTAAGGTTTGTCAGCAGAGGGCGCCAGAGAGACATTGCAAAAGAAAGGACTGTTTCGGTGTATTCAATAGGCAGGCTACCCAGAATCCAGCTCTCCCAGCACCAGCTTCTGAAGCATGCGCCATCAGGCTTATGCACCATGGGCAGCCTCTCCAGTGTTCAGCCCCTAGCACACAAGGTCTCCCCAGCAGCCCCTTTAGCCATTTTGTAATGGAGTGCCCTGGTGAGATACTCCCCAAAGGATGGATTTTCAGCAAGATCCCCTAGTACAAGCCCTCCAGCAAGGACTGGCTCTCAGAGGAGGGCTGAGGAGTTCCTCCTTGGTTGCTCTCTCTAAACTGCTCCTTATATCTTTTATTTCTATATTTTTTAGTTCTCTTTATTTCTTGCTAGTCAATCCCTCATTAGTTTAATGCCCTATTATAGTTAGCAACTCTTTTTTTTTTAATATATATTTTATTGATTTTTTACAGAGAGGGAGAGAGAGAGATAGAGAGCTAGAGACATCGATGAGAGAGAAACATCGATCAGCCGCCTCCTGCACATCTCCCACTGGGGATGTGCCCACAACCAAGGTACATGCCCACGACCGGAATCGAACCGGGACCCCTCAGTCCGCAGGCCGACGCTTCATCCACTGAGCCAAACCGGTTTCGGCTAGTTAGCAACTCTTTACATTACATTACACTTTCCCTATTCAAATTATTGTGTGCCTTCTCTTCCCTGATTGGACCCAAACTGAGACAAACTTCTTGAAGATACTTTATTGGGCACTCAATATAAATAGCAAATTTCCCGTGATAAGTTGTTTACTCAGACAGAAATGAAATGTTGTGTTTAAAGAATTAAGAATTACTTACATATTTGGGATTTAGATAGCTGAGAAAAATGAAAGCATATGAAGGTTTTTCTTCATTTGTTCTGATATAAACAATTCCAATCGTCATAAGCATGATTGTTTATTAGAGCTATGTGAGATATAAACATTTTATTATCCCAAGAGGGTCTCTGAAGTGGCCCAGCCTCTTAAAACTGGCTTAACCCAAAGTTAAATTCAGGATAGTCATACAACTCAATGACTTATGAGCCCTGGCTTCCCTTCTTCACTAGAGAACTTTCAAATCCTCTGTCCTCTCTGATTTCTTAATTCTTTAAGTAGAACTGTAGGAGACTACTTCTATAAAAGGGAGAAGCACAGTACAGTAATTAAGAGCACGAACAAGTTACATTACATCAGTAGACTTCAGTTCCCTCATCTGTGAAAAGGACATAACCACAGCACCTACATCATAGGGTTGCTGTCAGAACCAAATGAAGATATGTAAAGCCCTTAAAATTATGCCTAGCAAATAGTGTTTGTTATTCTTTTTGTATTAATGTTTCATTTGATTTCTTTTCCTCTTAGTTCCATATGTGAAAACTGACTTTATTGCTCAATTACAGTTTTCTTTTAATATTACTTTGTATTGGTTTTAGGAGTACAGCCTAGTGGTTAGACAATCATATACTTTGCAAAGTGTTCCCTCTGATAGTGCCAGTACCCATGTTATTGTTTTTATCACCTATGATCTAACTCTTCAAATGTTGTTGCTTTAACAATACAATTATAAAAGGAGGAATAAAGAAAAAAGATGCTACACTATCTATATAATTATAACAGAATCAACATTTTATGTAAGCAGTTAGTCTAGATAAAAATGTTCCATGTCTAGTAGTCTTGCATCAATGGGGTTTAGTTAAGTAATAATTTAACTTGCATCAGAAATACTTCCCAAGTGACTTTTGCAAGCATTATTTTCTTAAATTTTTTATTTATTGACTTTGAGAAAAAGTAGCTTCTCAAGTGACTTTTGCCAACATATTTTCTTTAATTTTTTTTATTGGTTTTTAGAGAGAAAGGAGGAGGAGAGAAAGATCGATTTGTTGCTCTATCCATTCATGCATTCATTGGTTGATTCCTGTATGTGCCCTGACTGGGGATCAAACCTGCAATCTTGATACATCTGGATGATGCACTAACCAACTGAGCTACCTGGCCAGGGCTTGCCAGCATCCTTATTCTATTTAGAATAAATGCAAACTTTGTAAATGCTAAGAAATTGCCAATGGCATAATCATCATCATCTGAACTTCTCGTATATTAGAATTAAGGCTACTTCCTTTTCTAAGAATTTGGGGTTTCAGAGAAAGTGAGATTTCTTCAAAGCTTAATGAGTTTTTTTTCAAAGTTTTATACTTCAGATATTACCTTTATAGTCACATAGACTGGGTTTAATCCCAGCCCCATTCCTTGCCAGCTAGATAACCTCGGACATGTGTTTTAACTGCTCCAAATCCTAGTTCCTTCCCCTATAACAGGATAGCAATGACTCTAACGAAGGATGGTCTCAAGGATTAAATGAGATAAGATGTGTAAAGCTATCATCATGCATGGCCTCCTCACTGCTCAGGAAGGAAAAGCAGCAGCCATTATCATCACTATTGCTGAGATTCTATCACCTACCTGTTTGCCTTATGAATTTCATGAGCTCTTTTTTAAACGAGTAAACGTCAGAAGATGATCCTATAATATCAATGTGTGTCTTATAAAAATTAACCAGAAGTTTCTGATGGTACCTCAAACTTAGTTGTTCACATGCCAACTTAATATTTCCTCTCTCTCTCTTTTCCTTTCCTTCCAAATCAAACGTCTCTTTTCTAAGCTCAAAGTGAAGGGCATGTGAATATTTTTCAAAGTACTCTTTTACAAGTTTTTCATTGTTTGGCCGCAAACCATCTCGAGCATTTTTTATGCAAATTGTGGTGATTTCACCTTCCACTCTCTCCTGACATAGCACATGAAATTTTTTCAAAGTACTTTCATAAAAGCCGTTCTTTTTCAGGTACAGAAAAACATCTGTTTCGAGAACAAGCGTCTCTCCACATCTGGCAGTCTCTCCACGTCTAGCCGTCTCGGGTACTGAGGACCTGGGTGACTCCAAAGAGTTATTACTTCTCGGTAGACTCCTTCTGGGGCTCTGTCTACTCCTCTTTTCCCCCTCACTGATACAACTCCTGTTTTTTTCTAAAAGAGAACTTGCTTTAATTAGCAAAGTTTCTTTGAGCTTCTTGATAGCCAGAAAGGATCCGTGAACGGAGATTCTTCCATTTTGTTCCAAAGGACTGAAGCGTAAACTTGGAATTTTCTTTTTCAGGTCCCTCACCAGACTTTCCAGAGGGAATGGACCTCGAAAAACAGAGAGATCAAGAATAGCATTTACAGAGATCAAGACCTAAAATTAAAGAGAGAGAAGTTAAAACAGCACTGCCTACTGGAGCAGACAGCATAAACACAATCTTTTTCTGCCGCTGTCTCTGCAACAGTTACCCTAAACCAGTCCCCAGTTCCCTAACACAGACTGGCTTCTTGCGCCATAGCAGCCCATCAAAGGGATCCCACAACCCCATGGAGCCCACAGTGTTCAATTTGGGATTCACAGTCCCTCGCTGCATTCCCCAAAACAGAGCTGGCTAAATATTTTTTAGCAGCAGAATGCTTTTTTGAAACAAAGTCTTAAGTAGAACCCATAGATATACACTGTTCTGGTTCTGCTCTGTGGATAAAGTGGTCCCCCTAGGCAGCCCCCAAGTTTCAAGTTCATCAGATGACTGCACAGAAGCCTGGGTTTCTTACCAAATAAAGTCTAAACCAATGCTTTGGATTTTAACCTGATTTCTTCCTTTCCTGTATCTTCAAAGATTCTTTTTAATGTTCACGGGTTTTTGTTTTTTCCCAAAATAAGTTTTTAGGTAGATACCCGACATCATCCATGAGAGCATAAAAGCTCACTATCACTTTAAAAGCATCTCATGGGATGTATAGAAACATAAAAACAGGCCAAGCAATAATCAAAAAATTTTAAGATACAGGGTTAGCCTTTAACACTGACTCAGGTTAAGGAGTTTGGATTTTCTTTCCAAATCATGGGATAACAGTGACTTGTGTCTCCTACGTAGGGAACACTTTGCAGAAAAAAACAGGATCCAAGACTAACAGCAGGCCTTCAGCATCACACCTTACCTTTTCACTAAAATGAGAGACTGTGAGTTGAATGGGTCCAACCTTCTCTGCTAGATAGTGTTTCTTTTTTCTGATGACATTCTCTGCAACTGAGTGGAAACAGTGCCATCAGAAGTGTTTGTGCCTTGATACACTAATAATTATTTTAATTAATAATAATAGAGCCCTAGCTCGTTTGGCTCAGTGGATAGAGCGTTGGCCTGGAGACTGAAGGGTCCCGGGTTCAATTCTAGTTAAGGGTACATGTCCGGGTTTCGGGCTTGATCCTCATTAGGGGGTGTGCAGGGGGCAGCTGATCAATGACTCTCTCTCATCACTGATGTTTCTCTCTCTCTCTCCCCCTCTCCTTTCCTCTCTGAAATCAATAAAAATAGTTTTAAATAATAATAATAATAATAGAGATGTTCAACTTTATTAGTTAGAATGCCTGGGATTTTTTTTTCTATATTTTTCTTCTAAATTCAACTTTTAAATCGTTTTCCCTTCTACTTTTAATACATTAAAATTCATTTGTGTAAATATGATCCTAATCAGACTTTAAAAAACACACATAGTTATGTATGACTAGAAAATAAACACCCAAAAGTTAATCTCCCACTCTGTTAATTATGGCCACAGGAAACTTCACCTTCTCAAATCCAGGATACCACCCTGTCTGCTTTTCCTCTTATTCATTGGCTGACCTGCTCAGTCTCCTCTGCTAATTCTCTTTTTCTTCCCATTTTCTAGATGTTGGCATGCTTCTATCTCAGGCCTCAAAACTCTATGCTAACCTACACCCACCTCCTGGGTGATCCATGGCTTTAGATACCATCACTACATGTACCACTTTCTAATTTTTTTCTCCGAGAACATAGAGAGGAAGGGACAGGGAGAGGGAGAAACATCAATGCGAGAGCAAAACATTGATCTGCTGCATCCTGGGGGGGATCGAGCCTGCAACCCAGACATGTGCCCTGACTGCAAACTGAACCAGAAATCTTTCAGTGCCAGAGACAATGCCCAACCACCTGAGCCACACCAGCCACGGCAATTTCCACATATATTCTTGCTGGTGCAATATTGTGCCACTTTTATATCCAGAATAGAATACTTTTTTTAAAAGCTACTTTAAACTTCACCAATCCCATGATTCATTTTCATGAAATTCAATTTTTAATTTCATTACAGAAACATTTCTAAGATTACAGAAATTTGATTTAGAAATACCTTTTTTTTCTTTAAATGTTACATATGCAACTCCCATGGTTCTTGTTGGATATATCACATTTTCAACAACCCCGCCTTCATTCTTGGTATCTTGGAAATGTCTCTTCACTAATGTGGTCAGTGATAGATCATTAAAAAGGTCAACCGGCAGACCAGCAACTACAACCGTTCTTTCAAAAGCTTTGGATTCCTTGTCATTCAAAACTGATGCCTGTAAGAGAAATAATAGGATGCTCTTTAAAATATGTAAGATTCTACTTCATATAGGCAACATCACATACCAGTAGGAGAGGCTATTTTACTCAACAAATGTACCAGTGCAGATGGTTAGATTCTTTAGATAGATAGATAGGTAGAATATAGGGTCCACACAAGAAATCGAGAGTTAAATGTAAAAAGTGATATTTTTTATACATGGAAAACATTCGTTAATATTTGTCTGATTTTAGACATGCCTAAAAATAACAGAAGTCACAAAGAAAAAGATCAAGAAAGACACATTTGAATTAAAATTTTAATTTTAAAAATAGTCAAGCTAGCCCGAGGCGGTGCCGCCCAGTGGTTGAGCTTTGACCTATGAACCAGGAGGTTACCATTTGATGCCTGGTCAGAGCACATGCCTGGGTTTGGGGGCTCGACCTCCAGTGGATGCGTGCAGCAGGCAGCCAATCGATGATTCTCTCTCATCATTGATATTTCTATTTCTCCGTCTCTCTCTCAAATAAATTTTTTTTAAAAAGCCACGCTAACCACAAAATACGTTCATTTGGAGATGGCTGTATGTTTTGATTGTAGAATCCAAAATACATAAGCCAATAAGAAACACATCCCCTACTTTTTTGTCAGAATCAGGAAAAAGTCACCATAAAAAAATAAAACCCTGGCAATAATACTAGGGCTGCAGTGGAGTAAATCCTGCCTCCAAGCACATATGTGAGATGGAATTGAACCACTAAGCATATCTGTCATTGCAGAGCCTGCCACCACACTGAGCACAGAGTGCCAGCTACAAGTAGATCCTTCCCTGGGCTCACTCTCTTTGAACTTGTTGTATTATCCAGTTAAGGGGCTTCTATTTAAATGTCTTCATGTGTCCCCAGTCTATTTAGGGAAGTGGACCCCTAAGCTTCCCTGCCCAGGGTTTATAGGTGGTTCACAGCTTGACTGTACCAGAGCTCAGACATAATCCCTCCTAACTTACCTGCCGGAAGCTGGTCCATCCTTGCTGCTTGACACAGTCGCTGCAGGAAAGAAACATCTGCACAGCATATGTTTCAAGGGACCTGGCATATATAGCATATTGTTCTTAATATGTTTGCTCTCCTTAGCGCCATGTGTTTTAACCAAGGTCACCTCTCTGAGAAAGGTTGTTTCCCCAGGTGGGGATTTTTCCCTGAGGTTAGGGAGGAGATACAACCTCTTAATTAAGTGCCAGGCGGGTAGTTAAGCTACATAATCTTTACTCCCTGGAATGGAGATAAGAAACGCCCTAACCTTTGTAATAGAAATTGACAGGATTAAAATCGGCTGGTATAAATACGGATGTAACAAGACAATACACATCAGACCCTCATCAGTTCCTAACCAGAACTCCGACCAGAACTTTGGCTGGAGATCCTGGCTAGAGGTCCTGACTAGGCTGCTGATCAACTGAAGGCTGTCTTCGTGTCATTCCTTCTTCGCCGACTCCGTCCACACCTTTGGGGACCCCTGGACCCGCTGGGGTTGGACTCCAGCACTTACCCCCGGGAAGGACAGCATGTCTCACGGGCCTGAGTAATGGTTAACAGATCACAGAGATATTGTGAGCTCTCAGTTGAAAGAACTCTGTACTCAGAGTAGGACTTCACTGGGGATAGGCAAACTACTTCTGATCTCCCAGGTCAAGTTCATAGTCTAAGCACACACACAGTGTCCTGTCCATCCCAAAGGCACCTTAAAAGGGGTGGGGAGCCCTAGCTGGTTTGGTTCAGTGGATAGTGCCTTGGCCTGCGGACTAAAGGGTCCCAGGTTCGATTCCGGTCAAGGGCACATGCCTGGCTTGCGGGCTCGATCCCCAGGAGGGGGTGTGCAGGAGGCAACCAATCAATAATTCTCTCTCATCATTGATGTTTCTATCTCTCTCTCTCCCTCTCCCTTCCTCTCTGAAATCAATAAAAACATTTTTTAAAAAGGCGGGGGGGGGGGGGGGTTGGGGATGAAAATAGCTCATGTTGAGACACATAAAACAGAGGGAGTATCTCTTGGAAAGGGAACCCATAATAACCTATTGACTGATTACTATGAAAAGTACTTTTATTTTATTTTTTTAATCCTCATCGGAGAATATGTTTTTATTGATTTTTTTAGAGAGGAAGGGAGTGAGAAAGAAATAAAAACAAACAAACAAACAAACATCTATTAGACCTACTGGCCCAGAGCAGGGATGGAATCAGAATTGAACCTGCAACCTTTTGGTGCACAGGACGATGCTCCAATCAACTGAGCCCTCCAGCCAGGGATGGGAGGTATTTAATGGCGGAAAACAGCTTCTGAACAGTAAAAATATGTAAACGTGTTCCTCCATCCTAGCTGCAAGTGGTAAGATGTAAGTATCCCAAAATAGGTCTTCCTAGCAGTGGGAAAAAATGACAAAAGAGATTTGTCAGATGTTCAGGGAATTTTACTTCACAGATTTGTCTTCATTACTAACCATCTGGCTGTAAGAGTCCACACCGACTTCAATGGGTAAATGACTAGTGAATTAACTTCCCTTTTGCTCTTCGTCAATGTCAAAGAAAAACTTTCAATCAATTTAAACTCAGAAAACCTCACCTCACCTCTGCCCTCGTCAACACTAATACCACACCGTGTATTTCTTTATCCAAGTGTCTACATTTAACTTATCTTTGAAATCAAAGGAACTTCTTCCTGATAGCTACTAATCTCTTCCATCCCCATAAGGAAAAGAGGTGTCTTTGGAGAGAGCCCTTTCAGGAGTTACCTCAGAGATACAGGATTTTGAAACAAGAGCAGCATCTTAGCCAAGACGTATTAAGGTGATGGCATTTTCCCTGTATCAGTGATATATTTTAAGAGATTTCTGACCATCGTGTCAGAAACCAAAAAGATATAAAGAAAAATCGAGTTTATTTTTGTAAGTCGTTGGGGGAAAATAATTAGATCCATTCACGGCATCTGTTTATATTTCTTTTCTTAAAACCAGTTGTTGCCCTGACCGGTGTGGCTCAGTGGATAGAGCGTTGGCCTGCGGACTGAAGGGTCCCGGGTTCGATTCCAGTCAAGGGCATGTACCTTGGTTGCGGGCACATCTCCAGTAGGGGGTGTGCAGGAGGAGGCAGCTGATCGATGTTTCTCTCTCATTGATGTTTCTAACTCTCTATCCCTCTCCCTTCCTCTCTGTAAAAAACCAATAAAATATATTTTTTAAAAATAATAAAATTTGCCGAAACTGGTTTGGCTCAGTGGATAGATCTTGTCACTACAGTAAAGAAAACCACACTTGCATCTCACACTGCTTGGGCACTTCCGGGACCCTGGCATTTCTAAGTGGGAGATGTGCAGGAGGCAGCTAATCGATGTTTCTCTCTCATCGATGTTTCTAACTCTCTATCTCTCTCCTTTCTCTCTGTAAAAAATCAATAAAATATAAAAAAAATAATAATAATAATAATAAAATTAATAAAATATATTTAAAAAACCAGTTGTTTCTTGTCACTACAGTAAAGAAAACCACACTTGCATCTCACACTGCTTGGGCACTTCCGGGACCCTGGCATTTCTAAGTGAGCATTCAGGGCCCTGCCACTGCTTTCAAACGCTTGCGGGAAGGCTGACTCTTGAATTTGCTAACTGTTCTTGCCAGCTAGCCCGGAGGTGAAAACACAGAGCCCTTGTCTAGAGAAAGGACTAAGCCACAAGAGAGAATTCTCACTAATTCAGACAAGATACCCATCTGGATGCCTTCCCAGCTTGCGTCCTTGGCTGGAATCCTCACTGGCCCTTTTCAAAAGGAAACCGGGGCCTCCATTTCTGGGTAACTCCCTCCGCTCTTGTTCACCAAAGCGGGGGATGGTATGGGAACAACAGTTAAGTCCTAACACAGCCTGCGAAGCGACTCCCCGACGAACAGCTGTGTCCCTGGCGACCGGGCACTGGGAACGTGGTGGGGGGTGTGAATTTCAGGCGCGCAGTTCCACCGGGCAGGTGCAGAAAGGCAGGGAGACGTTTGCTGGCGGGGGTGCCCCAGGGCAGTTGGCTCTCCCCCTGCCCGGTCCCTGCCCCCTCGCCCACCACCACCAGGCTCCCCATCCTTCTAGGGACCTTCGCCCACCCCCACCAGGCTCCTGGTCCTTCTAGGGACTCTCGCCCACCCCCACCAGGCTCCTCGTCCTTCTAGAGGACCGAAGCGACGGCACGAAACGACCCTGCCCTGCAAAATCCGAAGCAAAAGCAACTTGCCATGGCGGAGCAGAGACGCGCACTCGGCCGTCGGCGGGGCTGGAACGTAGCGGGGCGCGGGCGGCAGGGCGGGCCGGCAGGCAGGTTTCGGTTTTACTTTCCCCGCTCCCTTGGAGACCACGCGACACCAGGGCGGCCATGGGCTGGGACCCTCGGGAGTTTCACAACTTTTGAAACCACGCGGGAGGGAAGCCAGGATCCCCCGCGGGAATTCGGGGATTCCCAGGGTCAGTCCGGGGCGCGATGGAAGCTGATCGTCCTTCCTACGCCTCCCCAAGCCTCTTCTCACCACAGCACCTCCGGGCCTCCTCTTCGTCATCTGTCCGCCCCCGGCCAGCCGCGGGCCCCCGGCAGGCGTGCAGGGCGCAGGAGGAAACGCGCATCCCTGCCAACAGCGGGCTCCGCACCTTGACCACGCCAAACTCCGACCCGAGTCTGGCACCTAGGAGGACCCAGGGGACCCACACACACAGCTTCAAAGTCAAAGAGCACGAAGAAGAAAGGCCAATATGAAGAAGCTCAGTTTTACTCTTAAGAAATACCAAGTTGAAAATCATGAGGTCCCTTTTTTCTACGATTAGGTTGGCAGAAATTAAAGTGTGCTAATGGCCAGTGTTGGCCAGCGTTGCAAGCCTAGAGAGGTGCAAACATTTCTGAGGATTTGGACCCCTTTCAAAATGTAAAATGCAAAAAATAAAAATGAAAAAATGCGCATAAACTTAGCAATTTCACTTTCAGAATTGCACTGAAGTTATAGTGCACAAGCAAAACTAAGATATTTGTACAGATATTTTAGTTGTCTGTTTCTTGTAATACACATAATTGTTTTGTGATGTGTTTTTTTCCCACATAATTGTTTTAAAAGCGGATCTACCCTAAGGCTATGAAGATTGTAAAACAACATGAATTCTATATGTAATTCCCCAATTTATATTTCATCTTCAGATACCTATACTAAATGCTCACTTCAATGTCTAATAAGCATGTGAAATTTAACAGGGACAAACAGAACTCTCCGTCCTCCCTTTCTTCCCCTTCAGGAAATAGTTACACTGTTTACTATTCAGCAATACCTACTGGGGAGCGCAAGCTCAGGCTCACAGGTGTCCCTCGCTTTCTCTTTCCTTGGCTCCCTTAGTATAGTGACTGTACTATAGTCTATAAGCCACACAGCACCTCCAAGGCCACCTCCACCCTCCAGGTCAAGTCCACATCCTGCCTTGTTCCCCTTCCATTCTTTCTGGATAACCACACCCAGGACAACATTTTAAAATGCAAATCAGCTTTAGTTTTTATTTAAACACGTAATTGTTTCCCCTTTGCACTTTAAGTAAAATTTACATTCCTCACCAGGAAAGCATAATGGCCTTGATCTGTTTTCTTTGGCCAGATCTCCTAGAACTATCCTTACGCCTCTGTTCCAACCACACGAGCATCTCACTAGGGCTCTTCCTGGCCTTGGAACTATTTCCAGGCCTGGAAAGCTCCTGCCTGATCCTCATTCAACTGGCTGCTTCCTGTCATTGGAATCTTAGCGCAAATGAGCCCTCTTTAGAAACACTGTTTCTGATCGCCTAGTCTAAATTTGTTCCCCCCAGCATTGCTGGTGTGGCTCAGTGGTTGAGCATCGACCTATGAACCTGGAGATCACAGTTCGATTCCGTGGCCGGGGTTTGGGGCTCAATCCCAGTGTGGGGGTATACAAGAGGCAGCTGATAACAATTTTCTATCATCATTGATGTTTCTTCCTCTCCCTCTCCCTTCCTCTCTGAAATCAATAAACATACTTTTTTTAATAAATAAATTTGTTTCCCCCAGTTAACACATTGCGGACCAGTAGTTTTATTGCTAGCTTTACCCAATGGCCAGATAAGCTTCTATTGAACGAGTACAAAAAATGTTTTACATAAATGTTAAAGGCACGCTTTAAAATTAAATACCCATTGCATTTTGAAGTTATTTATTATATGTTCTTACAAGTTAATATCTTTTTAAAGTATGATACTTTGTAAAACACTGTGTAACATGAAGCGAGAATTCTCGTGATCTGTCCGCAATGTGTTGTCATTCCATCATCCTTTTTATCATAATAGCACTCATCCCTTTCTAAAAGTATCTTTTTTTTTTTCTTGCTTGTCTCTCCCCAGGATAGATAGCATTAGTGCTATTCACCAATATTCTTTGATCTTCTCCATTCAGGCACAGTGGAGGAATAATCCTGACTCACTCAATGTTTGAAGTTAAGCATGTTCATATGATTCAGGCAGCCAATGAAATGTGAGAAGAATCGACATATCTCATATATTTGGGTGGAAGCATTTCATTGCATGTGCAAGAGTCTCCAAGGCTCTCTTTGCCTTGGTGCTCATGTATTGAAGAGAACATGCATCACTGAGAACATACTAATATAGAACACAATTGCACTAGGGAGCTACCTAGACCCATCACAAAATGTACATGAATGAAAAATAAAACTTTGAAGTTTTAAGCCACTGAATTTTTTCAACAATATTACCTAGCATACCCTGACTAATAAATCCCACTATAATGAAAGAGCACCATGAAAATATTTGCAAATCGGATAAGGTATTTGTAACCAGAATATACAGATAACCCTTACAATTCAAAAATACTGAGACAATTCAATTTAAAATTTGACAAAAAATTGAATGGGCATTTTATCAAAGAAGATACATTAATGGATAATATACACAGGACAATATGCTCAACATCATTAGTCATTAAAGAAGTGTAAATTAAAACCACAATGAGATACTACTCCACACTGAAATGGCTGTAATCAAAAAGACAGATAACTAATGTCAAGAATATGGAGAAATGAGAATTCTCATACATGGTGGGAAAGTAAAATGTTACAGCCACCTTTTAAAACAGTTTAGCAGTTTCTTAAAATATTAAGGATGAATTTACCATATGACCAAGAAATTCACTCTTAGATAACAAATCAAGAGAAATGAAAACATGTCCAAACAAAGACTTGCATGCAAATACTCATAACATAATACGTAATAGTCATAAAGTGGAAATAACCTAAATGAGCATCAGTTGCTTAAAGGATAAACCAAATGCAGTATGTGTATATGGTATGTACAATGTAATACTATTCAGCAATAAAAAGGAGCAAAATACTGATACACGCTACAAGAAAGATGAAGTTCAAAACATCATGCTAAGTGAAAGAAACCAGACCCAAAGACCACATATTGTACAATTCCATTTAACCAGAAAAGATAAGTCTATGAAGAGAAAAAGTAGAAAAGTGGTGGCAAGGACTGGAGATGGAAACAAAGATTAACTGTAAATGGACATGAGCACCATAATCCAAGTGGGCATCCTTTCTAGGGATAATGAGAGATCTAGTATTAGCCAGGAATGCAGGTCTACCCATCTGTGTCATTGAACTGGGTATAGAGCAACCCTTAACCTTGTATGTGGCAACTATTCCAACTTGTATGCACTGACAAGGACGTGCTACCCCGAAACATGATACCTCGGCATAGTGAATATTTAAAATTGAAGGAATATGAGAAATGGCATATGCTAGAAGGACTTTCTGACCTTCCCCCAGAAACGTCATAAAACTCTCCTGTGAGAGGTGCCCTCCTTTACCCAGAGGGAAGGAGGACCCTTATCTCCAAATACTAAGGGACACACAGAACAATCTGAATGAGCAGGCCAACCTTCCCCTGGTTTAATACATTTTGATAGCCTATCCTATCATTTCTCACTTGCTATAACTTGACACTCTTCAGGTTTAACCATTCCAGTTTTTAGTTCCATATGAAGGTTCCTGTGTCACATAAAATTTATCTTAAGTAAATTTGTATGCTTTTCTCCTGTCTTTGTTAAGCTGTCTTTGTCAGTGTAATTTCTAGATTCAGCCGCGGATTCTAAAAGGGCTAAGGAAAACTTTTTCTGCCCCTATAGAGCCAAACTATCCTTGAGGGAGCATGACTCCACATGTAGCCAAAATAACTCTAGCGGCTTACAATTGAATCTGCATCCAAAAAAATTTTTTAATCTCTGATAGCCCCTGTTATAAGGCCTCCTACCTCACTGTGCTTGTCTTTGTCTCACAGTCTAAAATCAAACTGGTTGACATTTTCTTGGATGTTTGAAATTTGTGACACTAAAAAACAAAACAAAATCTGTTACTTTTATCTTGATAATCATTTCTTTCATAAGATGTGGTGTGCATTGTGAATATTCCTAAAGTGGGATAAAGAGAAATTTATTTTAAAGGAGTAGCATTTGATATTTGAAAGAGAGCAATGACTTTTATTGGACTATTAACAAAATACAGACCAAAGCCTACCTTCCTAGAAAATAATTGTAGCCATAGGTATTAAAATCCTTAAAAAATTTATATCCTTTAACCTATCAACCTAGCTGAAATAAGGTCAGAACTGCAGGAAAGTATTTGTACACCAAGATAACACGGGGTTTATGAATATCATAGCACCTATAAATGTGAAAAAATTGAAAATAACTTTAATGGACAATAGGGAAATAATATTCACAAGATTAAATATGATATAGTTGGGGGAGGGAGAGATTAGAAGGGAGGACATAAAATGTTTACCATTATCTCTGAGGAGAGGTTTTTTTATGATTTTTTTTTTCAAGCTTCACCCGGGGATATGTTTTAATTGATTTTTAGAGAAAGAACAAGGCCCATTAACCAGAAAATACTACATGGCCCAGCTGATGTCGCTCAGTGCTTGAGCATAGGCCCATTAACTAGGAGAGAGAGAGAGAGAGAGAGAGAGAGAGAGAGAGAAACAGAAACACATCGATGCTAGAGAGAAACATCTATCAGTTGCCTCCATACACACTCTGACCAGAGAACTGAACCCACAACCTAGGTATGTGTCCTGACCAGGAATAGAACCCTCAACCTTTTTGGTGTATGGGACATCACTCCAACCAACTAAGCTACCCAGCCAGGGCATATTTTTAATGACTTTTATTTATTATCTTCATTATACTTTGTGTATTTTTCAAGAATGAGCATCTTTTCTTTTTGAATACCAACCGGATCTTATGAATGTCATCCACTATACAGTTTTGGTTTTCTGTCTTCTAAGCACATTATAGGATTGAACATCCAAGCTCCTTTATGGTTGGGAAGAGCCATATCCTCTGCTCTGGTTGAGTTGTGAATGGAAGGGAGATTTCTGCACCAAGAGTTTAATGGCCAGTTCAAAACCTTCCAAAGTCCTTTCCCTCGAGCACAGCATCCGACAATAAAGATGGTGGCTGCTGGTAGCCTGGTTCTCCAAGTGTCTACCA